GGAGCACCTTTCCTTGGTCCAAAAGCTGCTGAAGACTTGTGCTACAAGGGTGAGTCCTCTTCTCCCTCTTTCTTGCCTTATTTTGTTCTATATCTTAGCCTTTGTTGCTTACATTTTTGGGCTCCGACCTGAACTGTAAATAGTCATATTTTGAGCTCCTTTTCATGTTTGATCAAGGACCTCTTGCTGTTTGAGGTCTTCTCCTTACCCTTTGTGTTTAATCTCTCTTTTAGGCCTATTTTTGCATGATATTTTAGGCTTATTTGTGAGCTGTTTTGGACTTAGTCATAAACTGAGAAATGTCTTTTTTTGAGCCCCTCTTCAACTTTGTTGAAGGGCTCTCCTCTATTTGAGGTCACCTTCTACCACTTGCCTCTTTATTCCTCTTTTATGGCTATTTCTTGCATGATATGTTAGCCCTGCTTGTAAGCATTTTTGGATTCGAGCCAAACTTTAAAGTGCCTTATTTTTAGCCCCTCTTCAACTTTTTTGAAGGGTTCTTTGCCATTTGGGGCCAGCTACTGTCCCTTGTCTCTATTATCTCTTTTAGGGCCATTTTTGCATGATAGATTAGCCCTATTTGTGTTTTTTTTTGGGTGAATAACCCTATTTGTGTTCACTTTTGAGATCTGTTATAAACTGGAAAAAGTCTAATTTTGACATCATCTTCATGTTTGAATAGGGAATTTTCTTGTTTGAGGTCATATGCTTCCTTTTATGCTCGATTGTCCCTTGTTTTGAGCCTTACACCTAAGCTCTTGTTGCATGCTTTGTTTGGACTTCTAGCCATTGAAATCTAGTGGATTTTCAGTGGCTAGCACACTATTTTGAGCCTCCAAATCAGAGGGGGGTGACCCCCTTTCTCCTTGACTTGTTTGGTGGTCATTTTGGCCTTCCAAAGAGACCCTATCTTGCATGCTTCGAGGTCACTTTCCAGGGTCAATTTGGTGAGTTTTAGGACTACCATATTTTATTATTATTTTTTTTATGCCATGCTAAATGTCTACCTTGCATGTGCTTAATAACTCCCTGCATGGCCCTCTAAAGGAGCTCATTATTTTTGCATACCATGGCCTCTAAGAAAGAGAATTTTTCGAGCAATTGTACCTTAACGATATTAATTTAACTTAAGCATCTCATTTAAGGTTTTCTAAATCACCTATGTGTTCAACTCGCACGTCCGAAAGGGTGAAGTTGCATTCCCTTTGATTCTCTTCCTAATTCTCTTTCTTTTCTCTAACTTAGTCTTCTAGCACTCAAAAAGAATGTTTCTTTCTAACTTTCTCCGTCGTTCTCCATCATTTTCTATTTTGTTCTACTAACTAATTAGCATAGGCCCCCAATTGTTTCATTAGCTTAATTGGCCAAGTTTAACTCAAACTAACCTTGCTTCGCCTCGAACAAAGAGAATTTTCTGAGTAATTTTAGCATAATGATATCAGTTTAACTTAAGCACCACACTTAAGGCCTTCTAAATCACAAAAGTACTCAATTCTCAAGTCCGACTGGATGAATTTGTATTTCCTTCGATTTTCTTTCTCTTTCTCTTTCTTTCCTCTAACTTTCTCTTCTAGCTCTCAAGTAGAACGTTTCTCTCTAATTTTGTCCGTCCTTCTCTATTTCGTTCTAGGAACTAAGTAGCTTAGGCCTCCAATAGTTTCTTTAGCTTAAGTGACCAAATTAAATTCAGCACCTTATTTAAGGTTTTCTAAATCACCTAAGTGTTCAATTCTCAAGTCCAAAAGGATGAATTTGAATTCCTTTGGAATTTCTTCCTATTTCTCTTTCTTTTCTACAACTTTCTCCTCTAGTATCCTTAATTTTGGCAGCCGGTTTTGATCCTTGATAGTTGACTGGTTTTTTTGTTTTGTTTTTTGTTTGTTCTCTCATCAGTTGTATAGTTTGTTAGGTCCTGGGGTATGCCCCTTGTAGCTGTGTAGTTCTCTGTCTTTTTTATTTTATGTCTTATTCACCCAAAAAAAAAAATCTTCCTATTTCTCTTTCTTTTCTACAACTTTCTCCTCTAGCTCTCCAGCAAAATGTTTTCTCTCTTTCTCCGTCGTTCTCCATCCCTCTCTATTTTGTTTTACGAGTTAATTAGCTTACACCTCCAATTGTTTCATTAGCTTAAGTGGCCAAAGTTTAACTCAAACTAACCTTGCTTAGCCTCTAAGAAAGAGAATTTTCTGAGTAATTTTTCCTTAACGTTATTAGTTTAACTTATGCACCTCATATAAGGTTTTGAAAAATGCCCAAGTGTTCAATTCTCAAGTCCAAGAGCGTGAATTTGAATTCCCTTTGTTTTTCTTCATCTTTCTCCTTCGTTTGTCTAACTTCCTCTTCTAGCTCTCAAGAAGAACATTTCTCTCTAACTTAGTCCGCCCTTCTCCATCCCCCCATATTCTGTTCTAGGAACTAATTAGCTAAGGCTACCAATTGTTTCATTAGCTTAAGTGGCCAAATTTAACTTAAACTAACCTTGCTTAGCCTCTAATGAAGAGAATTTTCTCAGTAATTGATGCTTAACGATATTAGTTTAACTTAAGCACCTTATTTAAGGTTTTCTAAATCCCTGAACACCCGTGTACATCCCACACGGGTAGGCAAAAATACCAACACACTCTAAGGAAAACAAACATAATAGAAAGTCAGACTTCACACACGAGGCGCATATAGCAGCCATCAACATAGTCAGATCCAGCTTCGAGCTTCGAGTCAACCCGAACTGAAGAACAAACCAACACATGTAACCCGAACAGATTCTACACATTATAGTAGACCCTGTAATCTAGCAAAGACCAAATAGAATTAAATAGTCAGCAACAAAATACTTTGCAAAACTCAGAAACCTGAAACAGTTAGGAAGCCCCACAATCTAGTTTATTCCTCACACGAAACTCAACCCTCAGATTGATTGGCATACACTCATCCATTGGTATTCCAGGACTCCAAGCACCTATATGAATAACAAACATTAGGAAGCCCCACAATGTAGTTTCTAACCTTCACTCAACCCACATTTTGTGAACTCTCAATCCTCACATCAGCAGCAGCACGCTTCAGCATAGTATGAGGCAATTTCCATGAGCTAAGATACCATCTGTCATTATGGTTAGTCTTCAAATTGGTAATATGCATTACCCTGAATCTAACCATATCCACAATACACTTAATAACAACCTCTTCAGGGACCATATCTTTACTAAACACTCTATTATTCCTAGCAACCCATAACTGGTACACAGTACAAGTAAATGCAAGCTTGGTAATAATAGCCACTAGGGATTTCCCTTTCACAGATTTAGCAATGAGCTGGACCAAATCATCCCAAAGGAGGGATGGCCAATCAACATTGATTTTACCTTTAATACAAGACCACACCCTTTCCGAGAATGGACATTCAAAGAAAATAATGAGCTCCTTTAGAGGGCCATGCAGGGAGTTATCAAGCACATGCAAGGTAAACATTTAGCATGGCATAAACAACTATAAAAATCAAATATGGTAGCCCTAAAACTCACCAAATTGACCCTAGAAACTGACCTCAAAGCATGCAAGATAGGGTCTCTTTGGAAGGCCAAAATGACCACCAAACAAGTCAAGGAGAGAGGGGGTCACCCCCCTCTGATTTGGAGGCTCAAAACAGTGTGCTAGCCACTGAAAATCCACTGGATTTCAGTGGCTAGAAGTCCAAACAAAGCATGCAACAAGAGCTTAGGTGTAAGGCTCAAAACAAGAGACAATTGAGCATAAAAGGAAGCATATGACCTCAAACAAGAAAATTCCATTAATCAAACATGAAGATGATGTCAAAATGAGACTTTTCCAGTTTATAACAGATCTCAAAAGTGAACACAAATAGGGCTAATCTATCATGCAAAAATGGCCCTAAAAGAGAGAATAGAGACAAGGGACAGCAGCTAGCCCCAAATGGCAAAGAACCCTTCAACAAATTTGAAGAGGGGCTCTAAACAAGGCACTTTACAGTTTGGCTTGAAGCCCAAAAATGCTTAAAAACAGGGCTAACATATCATGCAAGAAATAGCCATAAAAGAGGATTAAAGAGGCAAGTGGTAGCAGCTGACCTCAAACAGAGGAGAGCCCTTCAACAAAGTTGAAGAGGGGCTCAAAAAAAGACATTTCACAGTTTATGACCAAATCCAAAACAGCTCACAAATAAGCCTAAAATATCATGCAAAAATAGGCCTAAAAGAGAGATTAAACACAAAGGGTAAGGAGAAGACCTCAAACAACAAGAGGTCCTTGATCAAATATGAAAAGGAGCTCAAAATATGACTATTTATAGTTCAGATCGGAGCCCAAAAATATAAGCAACAAAGGTTAAGATATAGAACAAAATAAGGCAAGAAAGAGGGAGAAGAGGACTCACCCTTGTAGCACAAGTCTTCAGCAGCTTTTGGACCAAGGAAAGGTGCTTCTAACCTCTGAAAAACAGCCTCAAGTTGCTGGAATGGAGTGTGGAGGTCGTAGGCTTGGAGGCGGTGTGTAAATGGCAAGGATAATGGACTTTAGAGCTTGGAAGGGAGAGCTATGGAGGAAGATGGTTGTGTGCCTTAGCAAAAATCTCTAACCCTTAGAAATGAAGCTCAAGTGGAGAGAGGCCAAGGGAAAAGGGGGGAAAATCAAATTCAAGTTTCCCCCCCTAAAAGGCAACCCCTTGGATACAGGATTTGGGGGGAAACAGCTGGGACAGCTGGAATACACTTGGAGAGAGGATCATGGCCGGAAAGGTTCAAAAGGTTCAGGTGGCCGGCCGGCCACCCCCCATGGCCGGCTGGCCAGGGGTCAAAAGGGTCAATGCAAATTACTGGCTGGCCACCCAAAAAAGGTGGCCTCCCATGTGTGCACAACACAAATATGTGGTCAAAACCCAAAAAAAGTGAACCAAGAGAGAGAAAAGCCAACTTTTTAGAGGGGTTAAAAAGGGTCAAGGATAATTACTGGCCGGCCTATACATATTGGTGGCCTCCCAGGTGTGTACAACACAAATATGGGGTTTAGGGCTAAAGAAAGTGGCCCCGGGGTGGTCAACATTAGCTTTTTAGTGAGGAAAACGGGCGACGGAGAGCGATGAAGAAATAAAGCTGGCTTTTCAGAACAATTGCTGGCCTCCCACCCTCCTACAAGCTTCCTAACAATGAAAATAAGGTCTCCACCAAAAATGAACCAAAACGGATGCAAAACGGAGGTTCGGGGACCGATGCTAAACAGCCTCGAAACATGGAAAAATGGCACCCGATGCATGCGATGAAACCCGAAACTCGAAACTAGGCACATGGAATGACTTATAGCTATACAAAGCATGCATTATTTGATCATAAAGCATGAAGACAGAGCCAAGGCAGTCCCAAAACATGAAGATTTCCAGTTCAAAGCATGAC